ATAATAGGGAAAAATAAAAAACAAGAGAATGTATACAAAACAAGAGAGAGGGACACATTAAAAGGACAAGTTGCAAAATGCTTGAATTTGGTGCAAAGGACTTGGTCTGAATATACAGTCTTTGTGTGAGTAGCCTGAGGGATGAGAGTTACTCAGACCATAGCTTAGATTTGTAGGCGGGGGTGTAGCAATGGCCCGTTAGAAGAAGCTGTGATGAAGATGCAAATAAACGCAATCAAACAGCGATCAATTTCAGACTAAGCTCAGTCTAGCCAGCTAAAATGAATTCAGTCAGGTTGAGGTTTGGACTCAAAATGGCTCATTGCAACACCTTGATTCATTGTGCTGTAAATTTACTGTGCTGCTTGGGATCATTGTCTTGTTACAAGAGGGACTTGGGAATACTATGGTATACAGAGGAATTCATTGTTGGCTCAGTGCAAGGTACCCAGGTCCTGTGACTGTAAATGAAGCCAAAGTTGGTATGAGGAGCTCCGTCTTTGTCAGAGTTGAACCAACCAATCCTGTTGCTTGATACTAATCTCGACAGGACATATACATTTTCCCCCAAAGATCTTCACTTTGTTCTTGTCTGTCCAAAGGACATTATTCCAGAGGTCTTATGGTTTGTTCAGATGCAACTTTGTTTTTAGAGGAAAGGTCCTTTTTTCTCTGCCAACCCTTCAAAACAAGCCAAACTTGTTCACTCTTTTTCTACTTTAATCTTTAATTTGCTAACCGAGGTCTGTAGAAAGATTTTGCATGGTCTGATCTTGTGGTGAATTTTCTGGGAGGTCCACTCATGGGAAGATTGTGACATGGGGCACAAAAACAATGTTGCAGTCTGAAAGTGCCTTTTGACTTAAGTGAGTCCCTGACTTTAATCAGATATTTATGAAAAGTCTTTACAACTATTGGATGGATTTATAATGTAAAGACTGGTACAGTATATTCCATATAATGAATTCTAATTACATCAATCATCTTCTGACAGTTTTTCTGTAGCGTTATCAGAAGGTCTCAGAAATTCTTCCATTATTTGGTAAAGACAAGCAATGTTTTATGTTGATGGGTGACTTTATCTTTACTATCACTAAGAAGTTCACATTTCTGTTTTATCAGAATTATTTGCCATGCCATTTGCTTCAGGCATTCAGGTTCCCCTCAGGATGTGATGCAATCAGCTGTGATGACCCTTTGACTTTTCTCTGTCAGGTTAATAAAAGTTCAATACTTTATGATGAAATTTGCAAAAGAAATTACCTTTCTTGAGGACTCAGTGATAACAAGTGTTTCCTGCTAATGATATAATGTTGGAAATGGTTTGCAAATTTGAAATAAAAGAGCTGTTCTGTCTTTGTCAGGTAAATCAACCAATCTGCTTGTTTGATAGTAATCTCACCAGGACATGCAGTTTCTTCCCCCATTCTTTGTTTGGGATTTCTGTTTCATTTATTTTAAAGGCAGACAGAATAGGTAAGCCATGTATGTACTTCTTAGACCAGTAAAGCATATGTTATTATACCCTTCTCTTTGGAGATTTACATGGATAGGTATGTGACTCTTTGCACATTTTTGTCACCAGCCAGTAGTCAACCACAATAAAATCACTATACATGGAAACTGCAGAAAATGTACATAGAGGAAACCTACACTTTGACTTACATTAAACATAACCGGAACGTGAAAGAGCAAATCCCTAAAAAACTAACAACAAAATACCATTTGATTGGATAGTTTATATACCAAAATTTATGAAAATGGACTGACATTTATAAAGTGCTTTCCTAGTCATACTTACCAAGCAAAGTGCTCAAGTCACGTTTAACCAAATGCTTGTACAGCATTTGATTCTATGAATCTTAAATGCTTAAACTACATTACATACTCAGTCAGGAGGCACAGGAAAGACCATGCAAAATCTTACACAAAAAGGCCATCCCCTTAATACGAACAGAGCATCATTTAAACATCTAATCTACCCACATAACTGCTTCCCGTAGGATATGGTGCCATGTCACAAAGCTCAAATCCTCTCAAACTGGGTTCTTGAACATGGCAGTGAGTTGACTGTACTCAAATGACCTCCACACTCATCAGATCTCTATCCAATAGAGCACCTTTAGGATGTGGTGGAACAGGCATCTATCCACAGCAACTGTGTGATGCTATCAAGTCAATCTGGACCAAAATCCCAGAGGAATGTTTCTGGCACCTTGTTTAATCTGTGCCATGAAGGCAGAAAAGCTGTATAACCCAATACTAGCAAACTGTACCTAATAAAGTGGCCAGTGAATCCATACGGTGGCCCCTAAATCCACACCTGAAACAAAATGCAACCAAAAAATGTAAAAACAATCCAGCAAGTTTCTTTTTTTTTTTTTTTAATTTATTGCAGGTATTCTGTTATGTACATGTTTATTTACAAAGATATCCACATTTTCATGTTTTCCATTCTTGTTTTGATACTTTTTGACAGCTGTATAGTAATCTCCTGTTTTCTATAGAAGCATGATTAGAAAATCCTATACAATCATAAAAAGCCGGCTATAAAAAGAAATTGAACCATCTATCTTTGATACATGCAGGAGCAAGCTGATTTCCATAGTTGTTAAATAAATACTATTGACAAATAACATTCTATCGACTACAAGCACTTAAAAATTAGCCTTTGTCCACATGTGAAACAGGCCGCTAACCCACGGTCATTTTTATGATGGAACTGACATTTGCTTCATAATGAAATCAAGTATATTTTATCTGCATTCTCAGATTTACATTCCATTTGATGTCTAACTGCTACTTTACCTGTCTCCTTGTCACACGTTAAGCGCTTACCAGATAATGGTGTTGACTGTGCATTAAAACACACAATCAAAATTTGACCC